TGTGTGTGTGTGTGTGTGTATGTGTGATATTAATGTAGTAGTATATAAAAATATGTCGATGTTTTGCATTATATCAGTAAAACAGCGATTTCGTCGGAGTTCGCGTTTCACTTTAAGATTAACCCTTCAAAGTTGTGTAATCTTTCATCTGTCGTTTTTTTATGCAATATTTTGCTTTGAGAGGAAAAGCAACTGAATTAATTGTCAATAAGAGGGAGAGAATAAAGGGCACGTAAGAGTCAAATATAAAGAAATATTTTAAAACATGAAAAATCAAAAGTATGTTTAATATAATATTCTATAATTGATTAAAAATATAACATATTTCGGTATCATCGATTAACTCGCTCGATTGAGGTTTCTTCAGATATACATACAGAAGATGTTACATTGGATGAGTGCAGTCGAATAGATGAATTAATCGTGAATTCCTACACTCTGAATCATTTGCATGCCAGAAATTTATGTGTTTGTTAATGTATATAGAAATGAAACGTAGCGTGCTCTTCAATTTTTCATATTTTCTCGTATATATCTGTCTTTACGGCTAGAATTTTATATAACGTTTTTATATTACTGACTCGTGATAGTATGATTATTGATGTGTTCAAAACCGATCGTATAAATGAATCTCTGTTTTCTCTAAATAACGCGATTTATTTAGCAAAAAAAGAAATTGTTAAATATTTGATTTATAATTATTAATTATAATTGCGTAATATGAATAAAATCACGCAGCTTCTATTTGGAAATTGCGTATCGCTAGGACTGCGTTCGGTTTGAACGCTTACACGTTCCAAGCGCTTGTAAACATTATTAACATCGTTCACTTTGGCGATGTAAGCTGTTAGATACGCGTTCATAACGTTATCCGTGACGTCATAACTCGTGTCTACAAATGCTTACATATTTCATCGAGGTAGGGCAGCAAAAGCGTGAGCGCTTATTGGCCAAAATGAACGGAAATGACGTTCGATTCCAGCTGTAGTTTTCGGTTTCTCCATGATTAGAAATACAACAGCCATGACGAACGATTTCGATGTGAGCGCTAGTAACGTATGAATGTCCGAACGGAACGTAGCCTAGAGCTGTATTGAAAATAGTGAGCACCCCTACAGCATAAAGTTGCACAAAAGTTGCAGCAACACCGCTGTAACATTGTAGCAATATTGCATATTGCAGTGATATTGCTGCAAATTTTGTTCTGTATGGAGTGTCTTAGAAATAATTAGTGCGAAAAGAATATGCGAAGATCAGTTAAAAATGTTTAAGTAAACGTTTATGAAACACTTTTATCAAACGTTCTACTTGGTCATTCACTATTTTCGGCCGTAGCAGGTTTGAATTTAAGTTGAATCAATGACGTCACACGCTTTACTATTAAGATGTGTTCCGTTTCACGCACGAGGCGCATGACATATTATTTTGTCCTTGTTGTTTATCAAATGTTAAGGAAAGATAAAATGATAATGAATACACTCTACCAATAGTAGAGCGTTCAACGTCATTAATCCAGCCCAGATCGATTAAAATCCACTATGGTTGAAAATGCTAATAGAATCCTACTGGTACTGATGAAAGAATTTTGTGCAGTGATGAGACCAGGAGAGTCTGTGTAGCGACTTGGAACATAGAATTGCATCGTTCTTTTGAACAACATTTCGTTCTTTTCGATTAATTTCACTTATCAATTCTTGAATCTTATGAATTTCGCAGTGCGTCCTCTCCGTCGAATTGTCTGCGGGCTCTCGGTCTTTTCAGTCAGCATTTTTCCAAATTTCGAGAAGTAGGATGATCTGTAGGTTCGTTTTTCTCCGTAAAATCATTACTGCATAATTACCAAGTCTTTTCATCAGATTTTTTATAACCCAATAGAACGTGAAAGTTTCATGAAAATTTATTTTATTTAACATTTTGGACCTTTGCATATTCCTTTCGATCGCAACTAATCGAATTTAGATGTCGATTAATTTTTAAATCTCAATGACTAAGTTTTAGAGAAAGAGAGAGGAATATATTGTCCGTTCTTATATTTAAGACCGTCTTAAATACAATCTTAAAATGTTATAAACCAATTACAGAGTCGTTTTAGCGTCTTAAGACATTACTCGAGATCTTGAAAAAAAAAAAACGATGAGAACGGAGTGTGAATACCAGCCAATTAATTAAACCGTACAGCAGAATATTTTCCTTTGTTGAGTTAATTACCTGGCTCTTCAATACTCGGGTCATCGAGCGAGAAGCTCGCGATGCTAGAATAAAATACTGGACGATTAAATAGTTGGGCAGATTTCAAAAATGTCAGGAATTAATCGAGCTTCGTTCGCGACAATCCTACTAATAAAAAAAATCATTTCCACAGATGGCAATCCTGTAACCGGAATCGGCTACGCGTCCGAGTCGCAGAAGAACGGACCAGCCATGCAGAACGGAACCGCCAGTTCGAATTCCAGCAACAGCGGCGAGAAGTCGAACGACACGTCGCCGGCGACGGCAAAGCCACCGACGCGCACTCGCGTCCCACCCGGTGGCTATTCATCCGGACTCTGGTAAAGAGTGACGTCACCAACGGGGGTTGTATCCCGCTTCCCTCACCCCCCCCCACTCCACCCCACCCCACCCCTTTCCGAAGGGGAATATCTCGATTAATTCTTTCGGCCCTGTACTCTTAACCCATTAAAGCCCGAAAATATCCATCTAGAGAGCCTTATAATCGTCGTCCGTAGAATATTCTAAACGGAAGTCTATTTTGCCACCGTCTACCCGGTGCAGCGACGGGGTAATATCTTTTCTATGATTTTTCTAGAGACAACCTAATAGAAAGGGGCAAGATAATAAATGATGGGCTTTAGTGGATTAACGCCACACATCACTCTCTTTTGCTTTGTACTAATTCAAGGAAATATACAGAGAAGAGTAAGAACGAACTTTTATAGGCTTCTTGATTCTCGAGGTAACTCTTTCGGCCTTCGGAGAGAACAATAAAATTGATTTCACATGTAACACATGCTGATGATGAATCGGCATTCTTTCAAACGAAAACATTCAGCGATGTTCAGTTACTATTATCTATTCAGTTACTATTGTCGGGGCCAAGAGAGTTCAATGAAAGGGCGGATGAAAGTAATGATAAAATCGTGGATACGTTAATTCCTCAATAATTCGCAACACAGAAACGAGCAGTTCGAGCGTCCGACCAACGATCGAACGGTAGGGATTGTGTATTTAAATTTATCGAGATTAGGTACATTCCTGAATTTTTTAAATTCCGACCTCTCGTGACGTACGAGTTCTATTTCGCGAAAGATTAATTCACTGCGTGATCGGTTGCATTGAATAGAAAATAGAGAATGAGAGGATGGAAGCAAAAGTGTTCCCAGATATTTAAGCTTCCGCAGCATTTCTCAGCGTGGACGACGCGTACGAGGGTCAATGGGTTCCTTGTAAATTACCGATCCTTCAGTCGACAACTATACAGCACGGACTTTATTGCGTAACTGTATAAAGGTAGTTAAAGCGATCATCACGCGTAAAGCGTACACCTCCGGCTAGAACGCCGTACCGCGTCAGCATTTAATAAATCCTTACTTCGTCGAGAAGCGCAATTTCTTATCGGCGAACGATTTACATACAGGGTGTCCCATTCATCACCGGTCGATTTGAATTTCGCGCTATTTTTAAAACGATGCCGAATCTAAGATCGTGATTTTTCGTAATACGCCTGAATAATTTGCACGCGTTCTTTCACCGTGTACTTTTCCATGATTAATTTCCCATCTGTCTAGATGACATATGTGAAGTTTGAGGTTAATCGATTTGACGTTTTAAAAATAGCGCGAAATTCAAATCGACCGGTGATGAATGGGACACCCTGTATAATGAGTCATATGAATATAAGCGGAGAATAGAATATACTTTTCTTCTTCTTCTTTTATTATGGCTCCCATTCACTGATATGTGTCCCCGCTTTTCAATACGGGTTCAATACGGCCAGTGAAATCAACGAAAAAAATATGTAAATCGAATAAACGTTTCAAGTTAATACAAGTATTTGTCAGGAGTAATCACAAAAGGCGCCTAGTTTCGTCAAAAACTTGAAAAAAAAAAACATACATAAGAAAATATCTAACATAGGTATATAACACTGACAAGATGATAAACAGTCAGCCCTGAATAAATTTTTCGTAGCCATCAAAGAAGTAATTGGAAAGAGTACCGATATTATCAATGTTATTCATATAAATATTTAAATACTGTATCTCTATTATTAATATTTAAATAATGTATCTATTACATGACTTTTTTATTATATAAATCCTGCATAAATAAGTAACGCATACTTATAATATATTGTATCGCAAATAGGATAATGCACGGAAGATCATAATGTTGACAAGCTGTAAATAATACGCGTCTAAAAAATATTGGATAATAATAAATTCTAAAATTAATATTATATTTATGGGCTAATTGTTTACATTTTAAAAGTCATACAACTCCTCCGCAAGATTCTCGATCTTCAATAATATCTTGTCAGTGGATAGTCATAGATTTGCAACCTTAGATAAATTTAAAAAGAAGACAAGTTTGCATTTGGGACTTGCGATTTAGTGCTCTACGATGAGCCTAAAAAAGAAAAGAAATTAGCATTTAGTTTTTCTTAAAATACCTACTGATAAATGTCTTTTGCTGTATCAATCATAATCTGATCGTTAAAATTATAATATAACTCGAAAATTATATGCAACGTTTTACGACATACGATTTATTGGTACTCAACTCGAATGTTTCGATGTTTTCGTCGTTTTTCAAAGTGTTTGCAGACTTTGATAAGTAAGAGCATTGCTCGTTTTATTCGCGATTTGTTTCGTTACCGCGGCGTTTTGCTCGTTTCCAGTGTTGCATGTCAGTTCATTAATCCCATCTCAAGATGAAGGGCAATAATAAATGTTTACGCATACAAAAGAGTATCGAGATCGTAGAATCTGCGATTGTTACTGTAAAATATGCGACGTTGATTAGGAACGAGGACAGAGGGAAAAAATCGTTGCCAATCAATCCTGCCAAACATCGAAGAGATACATTGGAAAAAAAAACGTCAGAACACACGATTATTTGGGCTAATTGAACACTTTGAATGGAGTAACCGTGATATTTTTTCAAAAGGGAGAAGAGAGAGAGAGAGAGAGAGAGAGAGAAAGATGAAGAATTTGAGTCGTGAACGACTAGATCTAGAACGTGAGAGGAATGGACTGAAAAATAGCAGCACGTGAAATTGCGAGATGGAGACCTCGGAATTGTACATTAGAAGTAGGAATATGTTATTTCGAGAAATAAAAGTGTACTATGTATAACTCATTGAAACCAAGTTTCAAGTGCTTTCTTAATCTCTCCGTGCCTTCTCGATCATATTGATACCGTTCGCGCGAACGATCAAAGACCGGAGCTCCGTTTTTGCTCGCGAGAGATTAGCCTCGGTTTTGAATGGAACGAATGAAAAGAATGTGACGATAACGCAGAATGAGGGTTTATCGCTCTCAAAGAGAACCGACCTCAAAGGGAGCCGTCCCTCACCGATTTTGATTTGAGTTTTGGATATGTTGTAGATAGAAAAATATTAGATACATACTTTTTTTTTATTAGCGTATCTCAAGGTTTAGAGGGTGAAACACCCTTTCGGAAAATATGCATTTTATTGTTTTTAGCAAATATCTTCGAAACTATGCGATATATAAAAAAAATGTTTAATACAAAAATTATATAGTATTTCGTGCTCTATATAATGGTGTAAAAATAAGTGAATACACGATTATATAGAGCATAAAATATCATAGAATTTTGTATCAAACATTTGTGGGAGTGTTTCAACCTCTAAACCTTGAAATACGCTGATAGAAAAAAATATGAGTAATATTTTTTTTATGTTCTACAACATATCCAAGCCTATCAAAATCGGTGAGGGACGGCTCCGACGGTTCCCTTGTCAGATTTATTCGCGAAACTATTATTTATCTATTTATCGGTATTGTATACTTATCTTCTTTTCAACCGGGCGACGAAATCGTCCGCCTGTTGCCCCGCTTCTCTTCACTTACGATAGCTATCATAGCTGCATAATCTAATGTATTTATTTCGTAGTAAAGAGCTCGTGCACATGTATTAGCGTTTCTCTTTTTTCCACGCAAAGTTTCTTACGCGGTTGTTTGGTGTGAGTAAACATTGTAACACAATGCATTTTCGTACTCATCATAAGTAGTCTTTTTATACTCTGGCAATGATTAATAAAATTTTGTAAGCAAGATATCGCCGCCGCCTTGTTCCTTCCCAAAGTGTAGCCGTAAAGAATCGAAGCAACTTTAAATCATACGTCTGCAATGTACATTTATGATAGTTTTTATTGTGAAAATAAATCAACGTAAAACACATAACGCAATTACAAAATTAGGTACATACTAAACAAGAATTATCAATATGTAGTATATTAAGCGAATATTACATTAAGCAATCAAACAAAAATAATAATTTGGCTTTGACTTTATATGTGTGTATGTGTGACAATGGATAAAGCACTAATATGTATTAAATTCTTATATGGAGCAAATACTGTTATTATATAGATTAAAAATGCAATAAGTTACTTAGAGCGCAGCTTGATACCTGTTCGAAAATACATAACAAAAAGGTAAGTACATATAATGCCCATTTTTACATGCTATTCATAGATAGATAATCGCTTAAGAACATTTTGTACAACTCATAAATCCTTGCAAAGTAATCACGCTTTTTTCAAAATAGCTTCATCAATCTTCATTAATTATAATGAGTATTTTCACCGTAATACGCGGCTATATTCGAGACATTAAATGGTAGCAATGAGACTTCTCATTCTGACACCGTTGGCTTTGCAAAGAGCATTAAAGATGTGCTTGTGATTAGTTTCCTGCTCCATCCTGCTAGCTATCTCGTGAGCTCTCTGTGTGATTACAGACGGTACGCCTGCCAGTCGAGCGGCATTGAATCCATAGGATTTCGGACATGCCCCTTCGCTGAGCTTGTACAAAAACGTCACGGTTTCTTGCGACACTTCCTCTTCCTCTTCAGTTTCCACCATACATGCCTGAAAAAAGTGCATCAAGAATTTCTTAAAAATACCAACTATATCAAGATTAGTAAATTATTATATATATGTAACGATTTATAACAGTATAAAACTACTTTCCATGCCATCTTTTGAATGAAAATAATCAATTTGAAATATGTCGAAGTTTCTCACCATATGAGCTAACGTGACTTCTTCGTTAGTTTTATAATCTTCAACTAGAGAATGGTAATGCGTCGAGAATAATGTGCGACATTTGAGTTTGGTCAATGCATCGACGACCGCAGCCGCTATTGCCGTACCATCATAAGTTGACGTGCCACGTCCTACAATGAGGAAATATTTTCTAGCAAATCCAAATTATGACGAAGTGAAGGAAATGACAACCGCGAAAGTAATTTGATATGATTAAAATTATTTATACTTGTGCGGTAGCAAATATAGTAACAGAATCTTGAGAGAAAGTTATAACGATAGTAATAGATACACTTGTCTTGAACGTATTGATATGCATATGCAGTTTTCTGCTTTTTCTCACCCAACTCGTCGAGAAGTATCAGCGAATACGGTGTAGCGTGTTGTAATATTGTAGCGGTTTCACTCAGCTCGACCAAAAACGTACTCTGGCCGGCCAAAATATCGTCGTTTGCGCCCAGCCGTGTGAAAATACGGTCCACCAGCGTCATGCAGCACGAGCTGGCTGGAACGTAGCTGCCCTAGTTACGCAAGAAAATTAAATTCATGTTTTATTGACGTAATATCCGATTATTTGTTTCTCACGTGTATTTTCCTCGTGAGACTTACTATCTGCGCCATAATCGTGAGTAGGCCCACTTGACGCATGAGAGTCGATTTGCCTCCCATGTTCGGTCCCGTCAAAATCATGAAAGAGGCGGTGCTGTCGGTTGCCAATAAAGTATCGTTCGGTATAAAGTTGTCAGACACGATGCAGGGATGTTGTCCGTCTTTTATCTTGATGAATATCTAAAAAAAAATGACGTTCACTATAACTGTTCCAATAAATAAATGATCATTAAAGGCATGTATTGACTTTGACACTCACAGCGCTTGTAAGCATCTTTAGTCCTTGTTTAATATTCGATAGGCAACAAGGATGAGATGTGCTTATGTGAGCGTAAAGCGAACGCACCCTAAGTTATATTTGTTACGATACAGTTACCTCGCCATCGGATCCATCGTGAATTTCCGGGATACACATATCGCCATTCCGCGCATAATCCGCGAGGGAGATGAGCACATCCATGGTGGCCAATTTGTAAACGGCTGCATGCCACATATCGTATTTTTCACTGAACTGCGCAAATATTCGCCTGTTAAGATCTTTCAGCACCTTGTCCTTATGCTCTTCGGCATTCATTTGTCTTGACAAAAGTTCCTGTAATGATCAAGATCATTAATTTAATTTTTTTCATTTTTACATTTGTACTGACAAATTTCTCTGGAATTAAAAATGTGAATTATTATCCTTGCCTTTGCCTCGGCGGTATAATAACGTTTGAAGCCTTTCCTTTGTGACTGTAATTCGTATCCAGGACCGACTTTCTTAACTTGCGACTCGGGAATCTCAATTTGATAACGTTTTTTATCTATTCCATGGAACGTTACTTTTACGCCAAAATGTCGCTTTTGTTTTTCCAAGTATTTGTCTAGATCTTTTTTGATGTCTGCGAGCTCGATCAGAACTGAATCATATTCAGCGTCAACTCCTTTCTTTGGAACGATGTAGCCTTGCTTCTTAGCTTCTTCATGATCGAATGCGGTCTGAAATATTATAATATAATGTTGCAAATACATAAAATAAAAAAAAAGAAGCAATCAGCAGAATCGAAAGTAAAAGCTTACCTTAAAATAGTCTAATGTCTCCCTTAAACGAGGAAAATCACCGTTCGGTTCGTACTGGGTGTAGCGAGTTATCAGGTTACTTTTGAAATCTATCGTAAAACATAATTATATTAGACATAAAAATGCATATATATGAAAAACCAAGAAGTCGAAACATGTAATTGTTAGATCAGCGAGACATTAGGAGGAATTATATCGTGAAATTGTATTATTATATGTTTATATTTTATATTTAAGTCTTATTGATTATTGACTCTTATATGCCTTTTACTTAAATTTTTATTTTTATTTGATAACAAGAGTCTTTATATACATTTATTATAAAAAAGCAAAATAGGTATACCATCAAACAGTTCGATGAATTTTAGCACTTCTTCGAATTTGGCGAGTGTCGTAGTGAAATCTACAATCACCCTCTTCGAATATGTCGGGCCTTCAAACATTATGGCTCTACCTTCCGGATGATTTTTCATTTTAGCAGCATTTCCTTGAGCGTGTATCCTGTTATAACAAAAGAAATGCATATATAAATGTTAATGTTTCAAATTTTAGAAGTGAAATTTACGAATTTCTGCCTGATAAACTTTCAACTTACTTGCTCAAAAGTCTTTCGAGATCCGGCAGAGTTGATAAAATGATGCGAGCCGACTGCATCACGTCCATTCGATCCAGCAACTCTTGTATAGCTTCTTGGCGCTCTATAATAACGGTTTTGCGACAAGATGGTCTGCAAACCCATTCGCGCAGCAATCTAAAAATATATATCCTTGGCTTAGAATATATGAAAAAATTAGCACACAAAATAAAAAATGTACCTTTTGCCGAATGCAGTGCAACAATGGTCCAATATATTAATGAGTGAACCTTCTCCGAAGAGCCTTAGATTTTTTATCGTAACGGCATCTATCACCATGGTGTTTGCATAATTAAGACCTGTACGGCTATTCGCGGTTGAAAAATCCGGCGGAATGTACGTATTGAAGCAGCCTTGCGCTAATAATTGCTGTTCGAGTAAAAACTCCTTCAACAAACACACGCATCCTCCAAGTGCGTGTACTGCTAATTCTTTGTTATCTGCCGGCGTTAAACCCAAGCTATCTCCTAATGTATAATAAAAAAGATTTATTTAACACACGAATTATTATCATAAATATGTAAAACATTTATGAAATTATTACCTTCGTTTAAATACGGTTTCAGACCCTCAGGCCATGCAAAACTTGAGTCCTTCTCTTTTTTGAAGTAACTTTCTTCATGAAGTTTCTTTAAGACAAAAGAGGAATATTTAATATATATATGTATATGTATATGTATATATATATATATATATATATGTATGTATATGTATATATATATATATATATATAATTTTTTATCTACATAAATTTAATATACCAAGCATTATCTGTTACTAACTTTCAGTACAGTAGTAGCAGACCAGAATTGTGCCTCGCGCTGAAGCGATTCTTTTAGCGC